GGCGGGCGGTTTTTTTTAAATTTTTACTCGTTTTTTAATTTTTTAATAGTATTTTTTGGGGGGATGGGGGCGGTTTTTCCACCATATCGGTGATATTTTTTGTACTGATGTTGCGAAGGCCGCCATTTTGCTTCAAGAACCTTGCATACCCAAGCCTACGTGCTCGTATCGATCAGTACATATAGCGCGAAGGTCTGAACATGAGAAAAATTTCAAATATTAAGAGCGACTGTCCAAAAATATCGAGCATTGGGCGGCCACAGTCAAAATATAAAATTCCTTTATTTTTGGATTGGTGTTAGTATTGTGTGAATTTATAAACGTACTGGAGTCAGTTTTTCAACTTACGCAAAAAATCGCGATTTTTTTGAGAAAGATTTTACCCTGTTTCGGTCTAAAAATAGCCCAGACGACGGGCAGCAATAACGCTTCAATAAACATTTTCACTTGATAAAAGAACCCCGGTTACAAGCTATTTCCCACTCAATTCCGAGAGAATAGGTATTAAAGAGTTGTTACTGGTGGTATTTGCATTATTAACCCGAGTTTATACGGAAAAATTTTGATTCTCTTAAGGTTACAGAACACCTTTGAGTGTTAATTTTGCCTAAAATTTTTTTATTGGTTTCCATGAAAGCATTAGACTAGTTCTACTATCTGACCAAGTTTGGACGAAAAATGTTGAAAACTCGCAGAGTTATTTAATAAAATACATTTCGCTTGCAATAAGAAAAACATTGAAAATGTAATATTCAAAATCAATTTTCTCCCGAAGAATTTTACGCCAATTACTGGTGGTATTTGCATTATTAACCCGAGTTTATACGGAAAAATTTTGATTCTCTTAAGGTTACAGAACACCTTTGAGTGTTAATTTTGCCTAAATTTTTTTTATTGGTTTCCATGAAAGCATTAGACTAGTTCTACTATCTGACCAAGTTTGGACGAAAAATGTTGAAAACTCGCAGAGTTATTTAATAAAATACATTTCGCTTGCAATAAGAAAAACATTGAAAATGTAATATTCAAAATCAATTTCTCCCGAAGAATTTTACGCCAATTACTGATTTTTTAACGAGTTGTGCTCCTGCAGGTTCTAACGAATTTTTCTCAAATTTTCACAGGACATAGCTAAAGACGTCAGTTTCAAAATTGTGTTCGGCTTTGTTCTAATTTTGGATATTTTAATAATAAGGAGCAATTCACACAAACGATTCAGAAATATATTGCAGTCGTCAAAGAAATCGCCATATCAGCGGAATGACGAAATAAACAAAAATTTCCGAACACAATTTTTTAGAACAACTATTTTACTGTATAAAAATGATATTTTCATAAATATATCTTAAAACCAGCAGGAACATAACTCAAAAGCGTAAAGGTACCGCGACTTAAGATTTTCCTGAATAATTCTTACATTATTTTATTGTTTGTCAATTTTACAATTTTGTCATATTTTGCATGCACTGGCTAACATTTGGTTAAAATTTGATGAAATTCGGACTGATTTTGAGCGCGCAGTAGTGACTTTCCACAAAACGCCAAAAAGGGTGTCCTGTAACCTTAACATAGTTTTTCAAAATCTCGTTAATAGTGTATTTACCTCACATATAGCATGATAACAGACCTACGTTTCGCCCGCCCTAAAATTCGCGGGTCGACGAAGGACGAAACGTAGGTCTGATGAAAATGTTGTCAAAAGTGCATGTAAGTCGACCACCTGGCGGTCGACAAAGCTGATTGGCTAATTCACAGGGAAATGGGTTGTGATTGGTTGGTCGCTAACATCACAAAATAAATAATAAGACCAGAAGTCTCACTCGATGTCGGAATCTTTGATGTTGATGTCCCCGCGCATGTCGCCTCGCGCATCTTGGCCGTGTCTCGTTTCCAGTGCCCTAAACAAGTGTAATTTGACAAATTTACATGTAAACATTAAGGAGTGAGGAAGTTAAAACGATACCAATCGAGTTTTAGAGCTTTGGTGACCATTTTAAAAGAATATATCATAAATTCAAAGGTAAGTCTATCGTACTGCATTGTCTTAAATGAATTCTCAGCTGAAATACGGCAATAAATGGATCATAAACGTAGCTAAATTTACTGTTGACAACGAGGTTGACAGATCCATTGCTTTTTTGCCTTGAATAGCTTTACCATAGTCATTTTACCTTAAAATGTAGCTACTGAGGATATCTCTAAGAGATTTACACAGATTATTTGCACAATCTCACGATTTAATCATGCTGATAACATGAAAATCCTTGTGCCATTCTATACTTGGCATAATCTCTACATCAATAGTTCACCAGTTCACTAATATAAATTCAATATATTTTTGAACCAGTCCATATATTATTATACACAATGTAGTATAGTTAATTTGACCATATTTGAGAAGTAAGGGTGTATTTCATTACACAGACACTGCTGAATTTTAGGTTACATGCCATTGGATTGATATATAAAAAACACTTGTAAAACACACACATTATTTTTATCTTGTTGATAGAATAGTTATTTGCAGTATACTAACTGTTGGCATACTCTATTTCAGGACTATCAATTGTTTTTGTCACTGACAGTCTTTGAAATACAATCTTGCTCTGTGGCCTTTACTGACAAGTTGGCTTTTACTACATATGTGGCACTGACACTTCTTTAATTAATGCACCAGTCAACATAAACCCCCGAACTGGGGAAGGGCAGGGATTTTGACTTGGAGGGGTAGTAAAAGAGCGAAATTGGCCCCACCCCCAGGGACATCAATGTCCCCTGCATGTCTCTCAACCCCAGGAAAATAGTTTTGTATAATCATAGATCAGCAATAGAAAATCAAATTCATTTATGTTATTGTATTTAAACTTTTCTTGTCAAGAAAACTAAAACAGCAACACAGGATATATATGTTAACCACTGTCCAAGTCTCCCATCATCGGGGACAAATTTATAATCAAAACTGACCACTTTCCCCGCTAAACCTTCCGCCCCTCCCCGGTTGGGGGCAGGGATTTACATTGACTGGTGCATAACTAGATGATTGCATAAAGCATTGCATGGAAGTTGATTTATAATTAGTTTATGAATAAACTCACACTTTCATTATAATGGTTGATCGAATATATCAAATGCATTTGATTGGTTGATGGTCCCTTAATGGTAATGGTAGTCAAATCTGAACCTATATAATGTCAATATACTGGAAAAGTATCAAATTAAATTTTAATTGTCAATGTTGTGGAAAGTAAATAAATCAAACAATTCTGTTTGTTTCAACTAACTAGTTCACTATCACTTTGGTTTTCAAATCAAAGAATCTTTAGCCTGGTTGAGCTTTTGAAAAAGTAGCTGCTTGATTGAATGCAAGATTATTTTACTCCGTCTAACGCCAGACAATTTCACTCGTCAAGGGGAAAAGTGCTGCCACTCAGTGAACTCAATCAGAGCTCAATGAGCAGCAGCACTCTCCCTTGATAAGTAAAATCATCTGGCATTAGATGAAGTGAAATAAACTAGTAAAGTAGGGTGCATTGGGGCACAATGCAGCTTACTGGGTTCACTGGTAAATATATTTATTAAACAATACACACCCTATACTTGTATTTCAATCCACAGCATGATTTGGTATGCTTATGTCTATTTGACCCAAGTACCTGCCAGGAATGATGTTTGAATCGCACCTGTATTCATTGAACAAAGCTAATTTAAATGTACATTAATTGTACATGAACCATGTAAATGTAAAAACTATAGCTAGAGCAAAAACACACCAACACAGCTTTGTTTTTTATTTTTCTTGAGAAGGAATAACTGAGTTACAATGAGACCAGTATCAACAATTTCAAAAAGGTATTGTACAAAAATATTACAAACATAAGACACTTTAAAGACAGAAAAAACACGAAGTATGTCACTACAGAAACTGTATTCTGTGATATAGATGATATTGCTTTAAAGAAACTTGCAGCTTTTGGCAGTTGTGTAAGGGCCTGTTTATATCGAAACTGGCTGGCCCGCTAAGTGAGACAGCCCGGTAAGTGAGATCTCGCTGTCTAGTTATTTTTATAGTACAAATTATCATTTCTATGGACAAGCGGGCAGGCCCGGTTGCCAAGACCAGGATGGAAATTTCTCCACATAAACAATCATAAGCAGGCTAGCCCGGTTGCCGGGATGAAATTTTTAACAACTGTCAAAACAACAAAATTACCGGGCTGTCTTGCTAAGCGGGCCAGCCCGGCTTCCATACAAACAGGCCCTAACAGTCTCTGTCAGGCAATTACAATGTTCTAATGTCCAAACTCTAAAGTATTATAAACAAGCAGAACAGACCACTTATTGCAAGTTGCTGGTATTAAGTCATATCAACATGTGATCTCGACAATATACAGTGTATAAACTAAAGTAATTCAGCTTCTACACATGAAGCAACTTTAAACACTATCCTTACACTTTATCAATTCATTGAAGTTTGTACTTAAAAGACATTTTATTTGTAGTATTATAAAATCATAAGACATATTCTATTTGTAGTATCAAGTCACATCAGGATCAGTTTATAATCTAGCGTCTTTGGACCCAAGGGATCTAGAGTTCTATCTTGTTAAAACCTATCCAAGGAAAAACAAGAAAGGGATATTGAAGTAATGGTGTTTTTGAGCCAAATAAATTCGAATATCCACAAGTATAAAAGCAGAACTCCGTATATACCGGAGACAAAATGGCATCATAGCGAACACATTTTAATGATGCTCAAATTTATATTCAGTGCGCTATATTTTTAAAAATATGACTCTGTTTGCTTTCTAAATACAACAAAATTACTGCTTTACCTTCTGTTCAAATAGTTCCACAGATAAATCGAAGTCACAATTCGTACTACTTGAAAAAAAAGCTGTTTTTACTGTAGAAATGACAACTTCCCAATATAATTTTCTATATTGTCAACACTGCATTACACTTGTTTAGCTCGCGCATGCGCAGTATAAAATATGGGACATGTTTCCGCTTGAGTAAGACTTCTGATTTCAGGCTACAATTTACATATTTTCAATCACTCGACTGTACTGTAACGACTTTTTGATCTACAGGGATTTCTTGCAGGATGTCTGACGAAAACAACAAAGTAAAGGTTGCAGAATATGGCTCATGGTCAAGTCCTATAACATCTGAAATAGCTGTACAAGGTGGTGGTCTGCCGTTTCCATGTATTTCTGAAATACACACGCATCAAAACGCAAACAACGAAGGTATAGAATACAGAAAGTGTTAGCCAGGCTGCATATTCCATGTGAACCTGACGCCCAAGGGAGGTCAAGTTGAACGCCAGCCCAGGCTATTGCAAACACCACCTTTTCATTTAGCCATTAGGTTAAAAATACAAACTTAAAAGACATGTAACTAGTAGCCTGACAATTTAACAACACAAAGAAACTACTGGCATATAAACTTTCTCAACTGGGCAACTATACACCATAACACCAGGAAAAGTTCTGACCTTACTTTTGGTCTTGAACAGTGCTGATTGTGTGCCGGTGTTGATGTGATTGTGTGCCGACAATCACGCCGAAGATCTTCGGCGTGGCCTACCTCCTGACTGGAAATTGCATTGGGGTGATTTCGAAAATTTAATAGTGAATAAAGAAAGCATGAAAATTGCGCTGGGGATATCTCCCAGACTGCAGAGTATGGCAGTTGCACACCAGAGTTTATACTTCAATTAATTAGTGCACACCTGAGCACTTCGAGCGCCTGAGGCGTGAGCCAGCTAGGGGGGGGGTCCGGCGGCATGCTCCCCCAGGAAAATTTTGAAAACTTGCCTCCCAGAAACGCAAAATCCTGCAATTTGGGCATTAATTTCTCATTTTCAATTGACTTCAAAAGACCAGAGATGTTCATCATGTTCTAACTTTTTTACATGAACAATAAATCAGCCCAACAGTCTTCCTAACCGATTTAAAAAACTTGTAACAATAAAAACTGTGTAGTTTGCTTTGCGCTTAATTGCACACCAGTGCACCGGAAATATTTTGCTTGCACACCAGCGCACCAGAAATATGTTCCTGCACACTGGAGATCTCGTCGAAAAACGCCATACTCTGCAGTCTGGGATATCTCCCCCATGCAATGCAAACTTCCCACACTGGGCCTACATGGAATGCAGACTGGGATGTTGGCAAAAGAAATAAAGTGGGAGGAATATGGGGATACATATTTGGAAGAAACACTGCATTGGGACCAACATTTTGGTGCTTTTGCAATATATGCATAACAGCTCAACCCTATCCTTAACATAATTAACATAACCCAAACACTACATTATAATAGATTTTGGTTGTGCATATGCCGAGAAAGTGTTGGCACTTCTTATGAAGTTTTTAAAATGCATGTGACACTATTTTGTATAAAATAGCAACAGCTAGCTGCATGACACAAACTTTGTGACAATTGCATGAAAAATATAGCAAACAATAACATTGGGTCATTCCAGAAAAGATCCATACCCCCCCTACGGAGGAAATCGAAAATAACCCCCTCCCCCCCTTCGGACATCCTTGAATGGTTCATCCTCCCCCCCTCTCCGGACATCCAAGCCCAAAATTACCCCCCTCCCCTTCGGACATCCACTATTTCTAAATTTTTCTAAAGACTACCTCGCCGTTTGAAAACGTCACCGAAAATTAGACTACGTTCACACTACGCGCGAGCGAATTACTAATGCGGGCAGAATTTACGTGTGTTCATACTACCGCCATTACAGTTTGTTTACAAATTGAATTAGCACTCGTGTAAACCCAAAATATTTCAAATAGACCCAAGAAATTTAACTGAAAAGCATTCGAGTTTACACGTTTGTGTTCACACGAAGCTATCAAGCGCTCCGCCGTTTTCACCTCGCTCCATTTAGAAACCGTGCTCAAATTGTTACGGCAAAAGTGACGTGAAAGTTTTCAAACGATTTGCTCCAGCGTAGAGTGAATTAGCGATGGCTTATTATGACTTTTCTACGCTGTTTTCAAATAGCTCTGGCGTGGCGGAACACTTGGGGGCTTCTTGTGACTTGCGAACACAAACACGTGGCAGGTTTTGTCGGATAATTTGCAGAAATTCACTTCGAAATTCGTTCAAGTAAAATTCAGACTGAAATTCGATGTAACTTGCGACTGATTGACAAGCATTGCTGTGTTTACTTACAATGTTAATACATTTTTTAGTATTACTGCATTCCTTAACCTCGCCCTTAATATGAAAGCCATTTCTATTTTCTAGATACGCACCTCGCAAGGAAGCTTTATTGACTATATACTAAAACAAACTGTTTTGAGTTCAGTTCACATAGTAGTCTCTTAACTCGAGCAACAGTTTAATAACTATTATTTTTAACACTTGAATAATTCAAACTTATATATATACGAACGAAAACTGCAAACTATATATATAAAGCGTGTCAATTTTCGACTCATTCTCAACATGCAGTATACGCTGTTACAGCGAGTTAGTTTTTGGTGGCCATGCATGCAAAAGTGGGCTGCTTATTTTGCTTACAAGTTACGTGGACGTATAATTATTGCTGTTACATAAACGTTCCGGTGTTCAAGAGCTGCATATATATAGCCGATAAAAATTGCGTGCTCATTAT